ACTTATGGGTGTTGATCAGAATAGGGCCTACGATAGGGCCGCCTGAGAGTGCGCAGCTTATGTGGGTTCTAGTGATGGTTCTGATTTGTGTTTCTGCTCGTTCTTCTGGCTCGGAAATTCCGCCAAGGTCTTATGGTTGGGAAAATAAGAACAAACATGGTGGGAACCATGAGAAGAAGAGGAGGATGATACTTTTTCATGGAAACCAACAACTCATGGTTAAAAGACATATTGATTTGTTTCTCCATGAGCCGTGGAATGTTTGTCGTGTTTACCATGAGTATACTCCATGTCTACCATCAATGTTGTCGCCCCAAAAGCAGGTTCACAAAGCACAAAGCACTACTTCACAAAGCACATTTAGACCGTTCACAGTTGGACGATATTGAGCCTCAGTGAAGTAAAACATGTTCCTTTTTAGGATCATCGGATCATCTAAAAATATATATTCTTGAAATAGTCTTGGACTCGCAGGGTATCAGCAAGGATCACCCACAACCGGTTTGATGGTCTTGGCGGTGTTGCCGGAAGGCGCTTGCCATGCAGTGTGTTGTGGTTGTTTCATGTTGTTTCCAACATTACAGTAGGTATTTCTGCAGCATGGTTCCAGATCGCAGATCGCAGAACAACAGCTAAGCCAAGCTGGTCAAGAGGCACCTGAAGCAAGTACATGCCTCGTGGGTAGAAGTCAAAAAGAAGGGCATTGCCGGGACCCTGGATGAACTGGCGATCTTTGCGCCCAAAATCAGCAGACTCTCCCAGAAAAATGTTCTGCCCTTGCGTTAGTCTAGAAATCAACAAATCTGCTCATCACAAATGGAATGGGTAAAGCTTCTCAGCTAGATTGTCTCAGTCTGGAGTAACGTAGTTTTGGGCGCCTGTTCGACAGATGGCCCTCGAAATCCGTGTTGCACCTCCTGATGGAACAGCTCAAATCACTGGGCCGCCCTGACGTCCTTCGCGCCGCGCTGCTCATGCTGATCCTCAGGCGAACGTTGCGTCTTGCTGAGGTCTCCTCTCCCCAAAGAAGTCTTGCCAAACACAAGGTGAAGGCAGTTGAAACAGGTCTTTAACCAGGTCTTTTTTATTGTTTTTCATGTTCAATCATTTTACCATAATAAGGTGGTTCTTCCAGTGTAGGCATATGACAGACATGGAGCCTCTGGGATATGTCTTCAATCCCCTCGCGTGGAACTCAAGGGCTGCGCCCCGAAGCGGGCGCCCTCGTCCCATCTCGGTGGCCCCCACGTGGCGCCCAGCATGGTGGCCTCAGGAGGGAGGCGCAGTCCAACAGGACGCGGGTTTTGACCATGGAGTGGTGCCTGGGAGGTGCCTGAGGGAAGTGTGGATGTGGTTGGAGACCTTGGGGATGAACTCCCCCTCAAAGTTGGAATTGTACACATTTTATATAGTATAGGCTTTCATTTTGCAGGTGGTTGACCTGTTGGAGGGTGCTGGGAGTCACTCGAAGTAAGCATAGAAGCATAGAAGGAACAACACGCTCAATTAGTAGGAACTGACGTGCAAGAAGGACCACAACAAATTGAGACAGCACAAAAGATTTGGCCAAAACCGCACGCAAAGAACATCGTTTAGGAACAAATTCAGGACGCAAAGGAAACACATATTTGGTGAAGGTTTGGACCCGATTGAGATGCCCAAAACCCTCCAGAGGATCCCGGGTCAGATCATCCCGATCCCTTAATTTCCCAATAAGTTGGCTCATCTCCACTCTCATCTCCCCTTTGGAATACAGTACTGGGCTTCTCTGGGTTTCTCTCCCAATAGAACACAACGCTGCTTCTCTGTGATGGGCGATGTTGTACAGTACTCAGTAACATTGTGAGCACTGGAATTTCACCATCCGAAAACATCGAACTGATTCGAACTGTGATGAACTCTGGACTGTCCGACGTCCGACATATGTTGGCACCCCTGTGATCGTTCCTAACTCCCGACTCCCGGAACAGGTGCCGCACGGGGTTTCGAATGGTCATCTTGCCAATCTGCCGCACGGACGGTCTGTTGGGCATGTGGGTCCCAAGATCTGGATGAGAAACCGATCACCTTAATAGAATAAGAATAAGTGTTCCGCAAAGTTGGCAGCTCATTCCTTCGTGCACGGTGCTGATTCATGAGTTCCACAAAGGATCCCCAAGAGGAAGAAGTGGGAGTCGATATAAACATGACCAGGGAACAATTCATGGGTCACAGGAGCTGACAATGGCTGAAGGCTTTTCATGCTTAGAATGGCGCCGCAAAACAACACGAAGCAGCTTCCCAGGGCCGATGACAACTATAATATAGGGTGGGCACAAAATAACTATACAGCCCTACACCTTGCTCAGCGATCCTTGAAAGAGAATCTTTACTAACAATGTCACATGTGATTTTGTTGCAGCTTCACAGAATGGATCATTTCAAGTCAAGCTTCCCTGAGCTGCCAAACTGGGCCGCAAAACCAAACATCGGACGCCGAGTCAGGCCACGTCCTTGGACCTTTCCATGGAAAAAGACCTTTGACTCCAAGACCTTAATCCGCGGAAGTACCATTAAGTCCGTGCTGCCATTGCGGTCAGTGAATCAATGAATGGGTTTAAAGTATAAAATGGTTTAAGGGAAAATCTACAGGAAACAAGGGTTTTCACTCCTCAAAACTATGAGTTTCCAGCAGATTTTCACTGAAACCAACTCATTGAATGAACTTCCCACCACCTTTCAGCAGCTTCTGCATGTTGATCCACTCGACCCGATGGACGGTTCCATGAAAATCGAACCCAGAGAGTTTGCTCATGGTTTCAAGCATGTTCCAAATACCAAGCCTGAGGTGTTTTTTGGGGGGTTCCACAATGTGGTCTGAGTAGCAGGGGAGAAGATGTTCTGGCCTATTTTCTTCAAACTACAAACGCTTTAAATTGGTATCAAAGGAAAGCAATAGGATATAATGGGATCATCAATGGAAAAGTCCCCCAGGATTTTGCACCATCTCTGCAATCACGGTACTTCACCAGCCGAAAATGTATACCTTCTCCTCTGTTGCACCTATCCATTGGCAAAAAAAAACTGTTTGAGCACTATACGAGATACCTTGTACCTCCCCTTTATACAATGCCTATACTGGAGAAACTTTCTATCCCCCAGGGCTCCAAGTACCTTGTAAGAACGTGTTTGAGGTGGATGCCAGGAGGGTCCAGTCATACCTTCCGAGGAGATACGACTGGAGCCCTAGCGATATACACCTAAAGAGATGCCAAACAGATCATAACCACCAAGCTTTCACTGGTCTCAGACCCCAAGGACCTGTGGATCTCTCGGATCTCGCCCAGGCCTCTTCCACGTACTTGGCCCCGTTGCCGCCTGGCGTGCCGTTGCACATCGAGAAGTGAGAGGTGGCCAAAGGCATGGACGGTGCTCAGCACTCAGCCCCTGAACCAAAGGCATGTTGATTCTTGATGCAAGAAAGCTTGCAGTAGCTGGCACCACACACAAAGAAAGAACACATTGAACAAAACGACTGTAAATGAGACAATTATATTATCTACTGATATCCGCTCATCCACTTTAGAGTCTAGAGATGGTGTAGGATATGTTTGCCATCATCAGTAAATTAACTATTCTTCCCTGGAGTCCAATAAACAGGCCCTTTCAGGGTGCTTGGGTAAAGTAGCTCCTCCAATATCATCTTTTGAGTGAGTTGGTAGTCTGAAATAGGTCCTGGTCCCTGGTCATTCAGGGTCTATAGGTGCACTAGGTATATCTGGCAACAGCCACCGAGCAACGCAAACTCCGCCGAGTCATGCTGGGTGTTCCCCACCGAAGCGCCAGCACACCCGCATGTTGGCACGTTCCGCGGTCGCCATGACTTCCTGGCCACGAAGAGGAGAACATTGCGAGGTGGAGTCCGAGGATGATAAGTGGTGGGGACTATACAAGATATGTCAAGGATCCAGGAATGCACCTTAAGATCTTTTGACTTGCATAGATCGAAATGGGAAAGCTTTGGAACCATTTTTGTGAAAGGGCTGCACACAAGTTTCTGAAAGCGATCCGTCACAAAGCACTGGGATGCCCTGTGGGAATCCTGCAGACAGGTCTACCGGATCCAAAGCAGCACCCCATGAAAAATACAGGTCGACCGGTGAAACCCCTCTCCCGGACCATCCATGGGACTGGCATATATTTACCTACATTGGGGTGGTTGAACATGGATCTATGCATGCAAATATGCCAGTCCCATGGATAGGTCTGGGTATCCACCAATCATGGACATTTGCCCTCCCGAATAAATTCTGGATCCAACCCTTGCAGGGGCATCTACCTTTCCACACTGTGGATGAAAGTCTGCAAGGAGGCAAGTAGCCAACCTCTTATACCAAATAGTCAGGCTCAACTCTGGTGGTGTGGAAACGTACTAACCCGCTTTTGATCCCTCTTCACTTCAGGTGAGCCCTCGAGACAAACACATTTGAATGAACCAAGTGACCTGCAGGATGTGAATTGAATTGCCATGCTTTGCTTGGGGGTTTGAACATTCAAAGGGTCAGTTTAGGTGTAACTGTGGCCTGCCTTAGAGTTTCTGTTGGATTTTGATAATCCGTTGAATTTGACAAACCACACATTGGAGTGCTCTTGATCACCGGTTCGCAGTTTTCTTCTCATGGATAACATATTTCTAGTAACGACCAATTCCACAGACCAAATTGGTTTGTTTTCCGGGGACTCCAGGAACCTCAAGTATTAATTAGTATGACTTAGACCGGCAAATCCCAAGAATGCGGACCTCAAAAGTTCCTGGAAAGAAACAAAGCATACGCAGTTTGACAAGAGTAATGTTTCAAATGCGTTTCAAATGGATGCAGTGACACACTAATTGATTGAGACCCTGCAGGCGTTATGGTTATCAACCATGGGAACCTTAAAGCTGTTCACCGAATGATGTTGCATGCTCTGGGCCTCAAAAGTAGTTCCATCCGCCTCGTCTTCAGCCGCCCCGCTCAACCTTTTCAGCAATATCAGCGATGCAGCACTTTTCTGCTACACAAAAAAAACGAAACAGAATCTGAGCAGAGTTGTTGAATCTTGGCATCGACCTTTCTTGTTCATTTATTCCTCATCTTGCTTACTGGCTTCATGAAGCCTCCTTCTTGAAGTAACTGCCGGATGCTGCCACGTAGGCGCTTGGACTTAACGATCAATGTTTGCAGCTCGTGCTCTTCTCGAAGAGCTTCAAGCTTCACCTGCAGCAACTCACTCTCTTGTTTGGAGGAGGCTCTGCGGCATTTGTGGGAGAGCGATTGAATTTGTTTGGCACGGTCGATGCCTGCATCATCAAGGACATCATATCTTTTTTGGAGGCCATTCAATGCAATAACTTTGTTTCGAACTTGTTTGTGATTGCCAAGCGTGAGCGAAAGAGCTAGAGTCGCCTGTCTTTGTTTGACCTCAAGGCCACCATCCAGGAGGTGCTGCAGCGTCAGCTTGCAAGTTGCAAGGTCTGTGCACTGGAGGGTATTGCAACCGTCGCTCCCTAATCGAAGTTTCCACTTGGTCAACTCACCAGTGTGCAGGAAGGAGTGCAATTCCTGCAAAACAAATGAATTCATTTGCCGCACTTTTAGATAAAGCCCAAGGGACCGTCCCTCAACTGTGATTGAGCCCTCCGCATCAAAGAAACCAGCAAAGTAGGGCCACGAGCAATGGAAGCTTGCAGGCACGTGGTCCTTCTGCTTCAACAGCTTTAGCTTCTGTGCCACGTCACTTCTATCTGCCTTTCCAATGATCCCAGCTGCTGCTACCTGGAGTTGAGCCCGCTTCATGGAAGGAACTTTGCACAGCACCTGTGCCGCGTGTTGCATGGTTGCGCCATAAACTCGCCATTGCAGTGCTGCTTTGCGTGTTCCTGTTCGGCAACTCTGGTGATGAACGCCACCACCAAGACTGTCGCGGAAGCGGATGAGCACTCTTACGGAGTCCAGAGCTTGGCCAATACTCATTGACATTTGTCCGGTTCTCTTTGTCATGGTCACGCACCCATCTCCATCAAAGAACCCAGCTAGGTATTCAAGCTCTTGTTGAGATGGAAGATGTGATGGAGGAGGAAGCGTTTCAAGTGGAAGTGTATATGACTTATCACCAACTGTGAAGTTGTTCAGCGGCTTAAACCTGATTCGCCCTGTCAGCTCCGTCAAACGATTGCAATTCCTTTCCAATCTCTCGATCTTACGCGAGGTTGGCACACGAAAGGGTGAACAGGAGGCACACGCAACATTCCACGCAACAGCAATGCAGGCAAGCCAGAAGAGCATGACGAGCAAAAATCTCATGAACAAATGGGAACACAAGGAAGGATCCCTTGGAGCCTCCAAGGAGCCCAGGATTAAGGTATCTGCTTCAACTCTGCGCTTCAGCTTCACAGGATCATGGAGGCAGGGTCTGTTTGAGTGGGGTTAGCCTCAGGCAACTGAGTGTGATGAATTCTGGGTCGAACTCCTTCCTCAAACCATGAATCTTTCAGTGGCAAACCATAGAATGCAAAACGAATCCACAGAAGGGAACTTGGTAAGCAAACTAGTGACCCTCTCAGGTGTCTTGGGATCTCACCAGGTTCTCAACATTTCTCAACACATCGACAACACCTCGGGAAGACCCGACCTGACGACGACCCGGCACACGATTTCACGGGACTGTAACAAGCAACAGAACATAAACTACTCGGACCCAGACCTTCTTCACTGGAGGGAGGGGTCAATACTACGCAAAGGATCCATGGGACTGCACCTGTGACCTACATAGGTAGGTAGAGATAGGTGGACCTAATACCCCCAAAATCCACGTAACCTCTGAGAAGGTGATACGTTCGACACTGTTATGTAAGTACCAGTCGTACCTTCTGAGAAGGACTGGATCCCTAGGGATGTGAGACCCCAAACCCCTCCATAGGTTCGGGTTCAGGAGCATTTGGGCACTTGGGCACATCGCCTAAGAGGTGATTCAGGGTGTTTTCCTTAAAACCACTACTTAAACCACTACTCACAGAGGTTTTCCTTGGGAATATACTATCCTGACCCCCCAAACCCACCAAACACCGAACACCGACCGTCTGGGTGAGGCATGGGGTGCGGCACGGTTGGTCTCTGGACCCGAACATCGACAGTCGTCACGGTCGTCCGGTGGGTGACCGAAGGTCGTGGCAGCTTCGTTTGGAACTGAGTAGATCGCCACCCTACCATGCACATCCATGCAACACGAAGACACTTAAGAGTTCAAACAGTTGCACAAGTTAGGATCATGGGAAATCTATGGTGAAGTCACCCAGCCATCAACAATTCGGATCTAAAACATTCTCAAACACTGTTCATCTGACAGAGTTGCCTGATAGTTGCTTGGTCCTCCGCGCCAGGGAGAGCTCACCCCACTACAGAATCACCGTCCAGGCTCGAAAAGAGGGAGTGGCCTCACTACTCGGACTGCTCGGGTTGAAAGTGAAAACCAAATCAAATTCACTCACATAGCAAACCAGGATTCTATTCAAGAATTTGGAAGCAATACAAGCAATGTTCCGTTTGTACCCAGATCTTTATCTAGTAAGTTCCACCAACATGAAGAAAACAGGCAAGCAAGCCAAACTGTATTCTCCTCCACACGCGAGTTGCCAAGCAAACAGAAGGGGTGGCCATGGGGCCTGGATTTTTGGTTTTCTGTATTTCCAAGCAAAATAATAGAGTCAAGCATTTTTTGCTCAGCTCAACTTCTTCATTTGAAGCTCTGGACAGTGGCACAACGATGCCAGTTTCTTCCAGTGACTATCGGAAGTTGCTCAAAAGGACCTCTATACTGCGTGGTCAAGACTTGCAAAGTGTCTCCCAGTTTCCTCCGCGTCAAAACTGGAGCTGCTGTTGGGTCAAACATTTGCTCTGTCTGTCGCTGTTGCCTGGCAATGACTTTGGCACAGAGTCCTTTTGTCGTTGAGACATGTTGAGACGAGACTATCGACTGGGGAAACTGTGAACACTGAAAATGACGTCCCAAACTTGCTTGTGGTTGTCTGTCCTGATTTAAAAGGGGCGGGCCGCCAGATTCAGTTTGATGTCAATATCACCATCCAGGAAGCGCTGCAGCGTCAGCTTGCAAGTTGCATGGTCCGTGCACTTGAAAGTGCTTTGATCTTTTTTATCCTGCGGGGCCAAGTGTCCACCTTTTCAACTCAAGCTTATCCAAGAAGGTATGCATGTCCTCCCCAAAGCACAATTAAATTAAAGCAGCGCCGTCTAAATCTTTGGATCGACTCTGCCTGTTTACTCATTAAACTTGGGCACCATGAAACCTCCATCTTCAAGTGACTGCCGGATGCTGCGGCGAAGACGCACGGACTTTGTAATCAAGTTCTGCAACTTGTGCTCTTCTCGAAGACCTTCAAGCTTCACCTGCAGCAACTCACGCGCTTGTTTGGAGGAGGCTCTGCGGCATTTGAGGTAGAGCGATTGAATTTGTTTGGCACGCTCGATGCCGGCATCGTCAAGACGTTTGTACTTGCTTTGGAGGCCATTCAACTCAAAGATTGCGTCACGAGATTGTTTGTGACTGTCAGCCGTAAGAGAAAGAGCTAGAGCCGCCTGCCTCTGCTTGACGTTGAGGCCAGCATCCAGCAGGTACTGCAGCGTCAGTTTGCAAGTTGCAAGGTCTGTGCACTCCAGTGCGTTGCAACCGTCGCTCATTGATCGAAGTTTCCAGTTGGTCAACTCACGCGAGTGTAGGAAGGAGTGCAATTCCTGCAAAACAAATGGATTCTTTTGCCACACTTTTACCTGAAGCCCAGCATAGGATCCGCGAACAGTAATCGACCCCTCGGCATCAAAGAAACCAGCAAAGTAGGGCCACGAAGACTGGAAACTTGTAGGGACGTGGTCCTTCTGCTTCAACAGCCTTAGCTTCTGTGCCACGTCACTTCTATCTGCCTTTCCAATGATTCCAGCTGCTGCTATCTGGAGTTGTGCTCGCTGCATGGAAGGAACTTTGCACAGCACCTGTGCTGCGTGCTGCATGGTTGTGCCATGAACTTGCCATCCCAGCGCTGCTTGTGCTGTTCCCGTTCGACAATTATGGCTATAAATGCCACCACCGAGACTGTCGCGGAAGCGGATGAGCACTCTTACGGAGTCCAAAGCTTGGCTTATACCCATTGACACTCGTCCAGTTCTCTCTTGCATGCTCACGTACCCATCTCCATCAAAGAACCCAGCTAGGTATTCAAGCTCTTCTTGGGTTGGGAGACGTGATGGAGGACCAAGTGCTTTAAGCGGAAGCGTATATGTCTTATCGCCAGCAACTGTGAAGCTTTCCAGCGGCGGAAACCTGAGTCGCCTTTGAAGCTGTGTCAAGCGATTGCAACACCTTTCCCATTTGGCCAGCTCACTTGCAGTTGCAAAGAAGCGGCTGCACAGCTGCACGGGCAACTTCAGGTGCAATGACCACATGACCACAGCGAGCGGTATCTTCGGACATGAAATCACGTGAGAAAGCATTGTTGATCATGTTTCGTTTAGTCCTGGTGAATGACATTATCAAACATATATGGTTTCATTTCATGGTCTATGCGATCTGCTCCAATTGACATTATTGAACAATGCTTGCCGCATTGATCATTTAGCTCTCCTTCAGACTTCAAATAACTCATTTCGTCAGTGTCCATGGCGGATCACAAGGAGTCTGCCCAGGACCTGATTGAGCCTGTGCAACGCCGAAGTATAGGGCTGGGCGTCTTTCAAAACCCTACATACCCTAGGGATCCACACACCTTCCACACACCTTCTCAGAAGGTACTTAGACCTTCCAAGCCTACATGATGTGTCTCGATTCACTCTCTCAGAGGGTAAGTGGATCCAAGGGTTAGTCAAGACTCAAGACTCTTAGCAAGTTGTCCCATGGCACCATCGTCTCCCCTCATTTCTCTGCCTGAACCGACTGTCCAAAGGGATTACTCCCACAACCCCACTGAAATCAGTCAACATACAGGTTTGAGGGCACCTTTCAAAGAACCAGTTGCTACATGTTGCCAAGTCCTTCTGCCCATCACAAAGGACAAATGTGGCACGAGAATTCCACCACTCCAAGCCAACGTAACTCAACTCGGTGTGGCTCACATATCTCAGGCAGCTTCAAAAAGCCTCTTTCAATCCTTTTCAAATACAAACTGGAGGAGAAATGTAGGGTACAATTCAACGAACGACAGTGGTCAATCAACGAATAAACCAAATATATATATATATACATAGTGTCCAAAAGGTCTGTGTTTGCTTGAACCAAACACACGCGGGTTCACCACCTCATACAAAGGACAAGTCAGGAAGTCTATATAAAAAGTCAATGGATCCATTCATATATTTATTGTTTGGTCCTCTGAGGACATGACTTACCAACCTTCGCCGCCTACAAACTATTTGGTCACCTTAATAGCTCATGGGTCCGCCTAACTACACATGAGTCCCCGAAATAATAATGGAAGTGGATGTCATGGCCCTGAAAGGATTACCATTTTCCGAATACCAAATAGGTGGTGAACTCTGCTTCTATGATGATTCCAGGGAGTGCGTATCAAAAATCCAGACACTCCATGTAGGGAATACATTACATGACAGAATATTGTGCCTACATTGACCCTGCAAACCACCCCGATGTTGAATGATTGTTTACAATTTACCAACGTAAATATGCGGTACATTGAGTGTCGGGGTAGTGATTCCATTGGTTTGCTATCACTTTGGATCACTTTGGCAAGTCGGGCCACCCAGTGCCCAACCCCAATGCCACCTGCGTCCACCTGCGTCTCTCGAGCGCCATTGCGACCCGACGGCCCCCGGAGGTGCCTCCCGCGTCTGAGCACGGCTGTGATGTGTCCACAGGCCGCCCCTGAGCAGGCCCATCACGTGGAGAGGTGCATTCAGCAACGATTCTTTAGCTTGGATTTGCTGTCCAGGAGCCGGGATTAAGAACATATTCCCCAGAAGGCGATTCACCCATAGGGGAAATAACACATCACCTTAAGCAAAAGCAGGTTAAGGAGACCGAAGACAGCTGACCAGCCACCCTGAGTGGGTTGAGGAACAAACTCCTCCCTCATCCTGTCCTTCATGTAGGAAGATTACAAAAAGAAACAGTAGGCTGAAGGCTTAATTGAGCTGCTACTAGCCAACTAGGAAGCAGTTGTTCCACTTATCCCCAAAACAAGCTTCCCTATACCACATCCAATTCCATGATCCTTTGCTGGACCATATATGCCACTTGCCAATTGCTACTCAAAACCTCATTGGCACCACTCTCTGCCTCCCGATGTAGCCAATCTCTGGCCGTGCGCCCGCGTAGATGATCGTGAACTGTGGGGCCTCGGCACTGCAACGGCCAAACATGCGCTTCGGTGTTGGGTATTATCCGCATTTTGCTTAAAGTACAGCAAATCAATTTTATATATTATATATATATATATTCACCACCTCTTGATATGTTGTGAATCGCCATGTGCTCTGGTTTCACCCCATGAACATGGGCATGACGTTGCGATGGGCCCATGCCCCGGAGTGGACTGCACAACTCAAGCAACGGGGTCGCTCCCTGCTGCATGGTCCACTGCAAGGCTGGGACATACTGTAGGTTCTCCAACACTCCATCCAAGTCGCAAAAGGGTTCCAAACAAAACTGCTGAGAAGATCATGCAACATCCACCCAAAACCACCCCCTGCATGTTGACAGTTGATCCTGAGAAGGTAGTATTAATTAGAGTTAGACATCCCTAAATTCAACCCAAATTACGTGCGTTTCACGGAGGTGT